ATGAATGATGAGAGATGAAAGATGATATGAGTGAACATTGGAAGCTATGGATTTAGTGCCTAATGGATAAACGTTGGTAGCTATGGACTTAGTACCTGTTAGATAAACGTTGATAGCTATGGACTTAGTAACTATTAGATAAACACTGGTAGCTATGGATTTAGTACCCGATGAATGAACTTTAGCAGCTATGGAATTAGTGCTTTACGAACGAGCATTGGCAGCTTTGGACTTAGTGTATGTCGTATAAACCCCGGAAACAATGGACTTCGGTTTGAAGGAATATAGGATAAATAATTCTTAGGGTAGACCCTTAAGAATAAAAAAGATATTGGGGATGGGTAATTGTGATAATTTTTTGATGATGAAACATAATAATTATATTATTGTAGGTTGAAAACCCTATGTACTCACCAGGTTTCCCAACCTGACCCTCTCAGTGCATTTGTATCACAGGTGTCGATATGGAGTTACATTACACTGAGATATTAAGGAGATATAAATCACTAGTGATAATGAATGTAAGTTCTGTTTATGCTTATGTTTCTGTATTGACGATGACATCCCAATGTTTTAAAATGTATATAATACATTTCTTCGGAAATGCTTTGATAACGTATTTATCATGTTTTTCTGGGAACAAATTCCGCAACATTTTTATTAAAAGAGATACTCAGATTTTTATAAAGCATAAACAAAATCGGTCTTCTGGCCGTGAAAATGGGGATGTCACACTTATCATATGGATTATTGCACTAAAGGCCCATGGAAGTCAATTAGGGTTTACAAGTGAAACCCTAGGAATTCCACACTATAAATGTAACCCGTAGCATCACCAAAAAGGCCCCTAAGAGTTCCAAGATGAACCTTAGCCGTTTTGGTGTCTCCTAGCCTCACTCTCATAATCCTCCATTTATTCTTGGTGTTTTGTGAAACATTTGAGGCATCACATTTGAGGTGCTAAGCTCTTGTAAGGCCAAGTTCTACAAGCTACAACAAAGAGGTAATCATCTAACTCGTTTTTATGTTTCAAACACCAATGTTGTCTGCTAGTTAGGCTTTATGCTTTGGAAAATGAAAATTGTATGTATAACTAGAGAAAACTTAGATCCAAAGTATTAGGGTTGTATATGCACCATAGGGATGTTATAGTGCTCAAAACCCATCACCAAGATCCTAAAATTAGGGTTTTCATGCCACCCTCGTACACCAGTGTACTAAGGCGCACCTTAGTACGCTTAGCGTACACCCACGTACGCATGGCGTACTCATCCGACCCAAAATCCTCCAAAAGCCACATTGGGCCCCTTTTTTTACCATTTCTCAACTTATGGACCAAAATGCAACATACTAAAATCATAAAGCCCAAGATTAGAAGTACCTTAACAATGGGATGTTACATATGTACTATGTTATATGGAGCTATTATTAATATTTTTTATAAAAGGGTTATATTGTCATTTTTAAATCTTGTTCTATTTAGTTCTATTGTTACCAAACAGTTTCAGACAACTTGTTCTGCTTTGTTCCAGTCTTACTAAACGTTGTACAAATTATTTGTCTTGTTCAGTCGAGCCTAGCTCAGTCCAGTCCAGTTCAATTTTGTTCCACCTAGTTCATCTACCAAACGGTAGCTTATAGATGTATATTGGTGGTTCCTGACCAGTCTTCGGTCGGTCTCGGAACGGTCTGGTTTTTTTCGGACCGGTCTCGGACGATCTCCAATCGGTCTTCCAGTCCGGTCTTGGTCTTTTCCGGTCCGGTCTTGCTGTCTTCCAATGCGCCTTTTTCGGTTCGATTTATGGGTTTTTTTGGTTCGATTTTGGTATTTTTCAATTCTTTTGATTTGGTTTCTAGTTTTTTCCATTAAAAAAAATTATGTGATTAACACCAAAATAATAAAGTAAGATATATTAAAAATGATAATTTAAGTTTAATAAAAGAAAAAATGAAATAAGTTAGATAATTTGTGATTAAAAATTGTATAATTAACACAAAAATGATATGTTTATACAAGTAAATTACAGAAATGGTCTCTGTGGTTTGGTCGAATTCGCAGTTTTGGTCCCTAAGTTTAAAATTTGATAGGTTACATCCCTGTGGTTTGTGAATATTGCACTTCAGGTCCTTGCTCCTTATAAAAAGACCAAATTACCCTTTCTTTCCTTTTTCTTTTTCTTTTAACAAATATATATATATATATATATATATATATATATATATATATATATATATATAATTGCTTTTTTAATCTTTGTTTTAATAGAATTAATATAGATTATTTATTAAATTTATTTTTATTTTTTTAAATCAATTATATAAATTATATAAATTCATATTATTATTATTATTTATTTTTTTGCTTTATTTATTTATCTTTGTTTTGTGCTTTAAAAATCTTTTAATATTTTTGACATTTTATTTGAATATATTATTTGATGTTATTTTTTTGACGTTTTGTTCGTTTAAACTATATAATGATTTTTTTGACATTTTTTTTCGAATAAAAAAATTAAAACAGTAACCCAGATAACTATCAGTAAATGATGTAAACAAATCATAAAACCTTTTATAAATAAATAAAAGAAGAGACACTAACATGAATGATGTAAACAAAAAACACATAAAAAAACAACATTAAATAATTATATTAGACGATTTATAGTTATCCAGTTTATTATTTTAATTTGTTTATTTAAACAGAATGTAAAAAAAAAAAAAAAAAAAAACAAAACAAAAAAAAACGTCATTATATAATGTAAACGTATAAAACGTTAAAAAAACAACATAAAATAATATATTCAAATAAAACGTTAAAAATATCCAGATTATTATTTTAATTTGTCTATTCGAACAAAACGTAAAAAAATCATTAAATAACGTAAACAAACAAACATTAAAAAACAACGTCATTTAATATATTCAAATAAAACGTCAAAAATATTAAAATATTTTTAAATCACCAAAAGAAAGATAAATAAATAAATCTAAAAAGAAATAATAATGTCATGTTTATATAACTTAGATAATTTATTTAAAAAAATAAAAATAATTTTATAAATAATCTATATTTATTCTATAAAAATAAAGACGGAATAAAATATTATATATATATATAATAATAATAATAATAATAATAATAATAATAATAATAAATTGTTAAAAGAAAAAAAAAACAAAAGAAAAAAAATGGTAATTTGGTCTTTTATATGGAGCAAGGACCTACAGTGCAATAATTTACAAACTATAGGGATGTAACCTATCAAACTTTAAACTTAGGGAGCAAACCTACGAATTCAACCAAACCACAGGGACCGTTTTTGTAATGTACTCTATTTATAAAGTTTGGTTACCGGTCTTTTTTTTTCTAGATCGCCCTCAGACAGGTCTCGTTCGATCTCGGACCGACCTTGTGTCGGTCTTAGGAACGGTCCGGTCTTTTTTAGGACCGGTCGGAACGGTTCGGTTTTTTTCGGACCGGTCCGAGACAGTTTCGGGTCGGTCTTTTTTCGGTCCTATTTTTTTAGGACCGGTCTTTTTTGGGCCCGGTCTCGTTTTATACCGGTTTGGTCTCGGTCTTTTTTCGGGTCTGGTCCAAGACCAATCTTTTGTGCAGGTTTACCCCCTTTATGCCTCCCATCGTTTAAAATTGAGAAACCCATGATTTTTCAGTTTAGCCCCTAATCTTTTTTATAATGACAGAAAAGGCCCTTAAAACAAATTTATTCTCACACAACAGGTTTTCAACTGTGACACTTCCCGTTCCTCAACCAAAAATGATTATAAAACCCTCAAATAACCATTTCTTAGTTATTTTTACCATTAATTGATTATTAAACTTATTTATTTAATAATTAATTTATTTTTAATTATTATATAATCACTTAAAAGTTATATAAGGCCTCTTATAGTCTTATTTAGTTATATTTATACTTATATTCCTTTATTACAATAACTAACAGAAAATGGGGTGTTACAGATTGAGAATAAGATAAAAGAAAAATGGATGAATTGGACAACTGATTTGTTGATGAAACTCGGTAATTAATAATAATAGTTGAATTTAATCACGTAACTATTTGACAAATAATTCTTAATATTTTCAGTTTGATTATTTGTCTGTCTAGTCAGATATACATCATAATCATAATCGTAATCTTGACTTTAACACTCAAGAATATTTACTAAATGATATATGTAAGTGGACTAATTGTTTGAATATTTATGAGGAAGTAAATGAGATATAATTTTGAAGTTTATATACAAGCTTTGGCCATGGTGGAGACAAATTCTATCATGAAAGAGACGAGGAAGAATTGCATTATTTGTTAGTATATGATGATGTGCTCTTCAACGATCATGAGTCATGACGATGGTTGGCATTTGGGCTATCCACACATGATTTTTTTTTTTTTTTCTGTTTAATCCAATCAATTTTTTTGATAATATGTTTGTGATTAATAATAGTAAAACAACATGAATAAATATGCTCCAATCAAAGTTAATATCTTAGGATGAAGGATTGGAATGGATAGAGTCGAAGAAAAATTGCACTATTTTGTTAGTATTTGATGACGTGGTCTTCAATAAATATGCTAATCTGGATAGGGGTAGGCGGGGTTGTATTATATTCTTTGTCTGATTTTCAAATGAGAAGTAGAGGTCGGAGATCAGTTATCTTGCATGTGTCATCTTTGTGGTACATTGAATTCAATGGCCTACGGATTTGAGGGTCTTGTTTTCATTTTTTAACAATAACAATCTAAAAAAGTTGTTGAATTAAAGGCACTCTAAAGGAACATGGCTTATTGGCTTTTTAGATATACAAATCAAAAGAATAGCCATATGTACTATAAATAATAATAAAATAGAATGCACCTTAAAATCTATAAGCAAATCTACCTTTATATAAAAAGCTAAAGAGTGTCACCGGGAAACCTTCCCATCAACCCTCCACCTCCGGCCGCCAGACACCACCACCAACTTTATTTTTCGATTCGCTAAATTCTCGAACACAAATCCTTCGTTCTAACCGTCAACCACACATCCAACATAAACCCAATCACACACACAAACGCCATCACTATTAACACAAGGCGATAACAGTGTGGGCCAATGCAACTGTTGCCACCTCTCGCGGTGGCAGTGGTCTCTGTGTCATACAAGAATCCGGCGAGTAGACCGGAGAACAAGAAGGAACCGAGTGAGAAGTTTAGGATGAGGATGTTGTAAATGAGAGCATAACATTTCAGGCCAAATAGTTCGGAGGCAGTTGGGACCGTGATGGCTAACCACACCCCGTAGTATATCCTGACCAAGATCGAGCCGATGCAGAGTGACCCGGGCATGGCTATAGCCATAAGAACATAGCCTACCGCCATTAAAATCTGGGATGTTGCATTCCATAGAGGTCTTGGTTTTCCAACCTTCTGATAATTATTAATAAATCTGTAAGCGCAAAAAAAAAATAATAATAAATATGAAAGCGTAAAAACAAAAAAAAGGACAACATGCAAGAAATAGGAAACGTAATTTCATTTTTTTATTACAACATCCTACTACTTTTGTTTTATTACGTAACATTGCAATGTTAAGGGATTATACTTTCACTCTTTTTTTTTTGAATTGAAGTCATTGTACTTTGAAAACTGTATCCGGTTATAAAATTGTATTTTAGATTTTTTTTTCCTATTAGAACAATGTATCTTGAAAACATTTATGGTGAAGATTGTTTTGTAAATTGGATGATATTGTTATAGTTGGATATCTTATGGAAGGTATAATGTTGTCATAGGGAAAAAAAGTAAATTATATAGTAAATGAATCAATGATTTTTAGAAAATATTCAAGGAAATTACCGACACAGTTGCAGAAATGGAAGAAGAAAATAAATGAAAGACAAATCCATAAAAAAAAGGAATAAATGAGATAAATTTTATTTTTCTGCCTTTTTTTATTAAGTTCTGTATTTTATAGTAAATAATATATATATATATATATATATATATATATATATATATATATATATATATATTGTTGGGGAAATT